AAAATGCTCGAGGTACACCTAAGCACTCCTTATGAGTTGTCAATGCGAAAGCATGCATGCCGTTCCTCTGCTCCCCTATTTTGTCTGGGGCGTACTTGCGTCGACGGTCGAGCGCGCGCGCCCTCCTCGCCACGCTAACCTTGGGAGTGGAGCGGTGGAGCTGCTGCCTCGCGAACACGCGGTGCCATGGGGAGGCGCTAATTGAAACTGACACGCGGCTGCTTCATATCACTGCCGTTTTGCCTGGCTTTCTGCCTGGTTTCAAAGCTGGGAGGCCTCAGATCGCGGCTTCGGGAATTTGTCTGCCGTTTGGCGCGGCTGATGACGTCGGCTCTCTTCATGGGACAGTTAATACTTTTCGCATTGAAAAGGAACACCGGCTTGAGGGCCTACGCTTTGTTGCCTTCCAACTAACGAGCACGGACGGCGGTCAGTTTTTCAGCAGAGAGGCCGTACCACCAACCGCCGTCTGAGTGAGGTGTCAGGGTCCCCCCAACGGCTTGCAGGTGCAGGGCCAGACTCGCTGGCCACGGGAACCAGTCTAGAAGACAAGGTCTGCACCTTTTCCCCCAAACGTCACCGCTAGCGAACCCACACAACACCGCGCAGCTCGCGTCAGCGTCACCGCCAGCTTTTCTTGCAGCTTCTGGCAACGATGGCGACGCGAGCCACCGGGGGAGAACCGGGTGTTCACTGTATATGACGTCGTGTACAGGCCTTGAATTCTAGAAGGAATTGACTCACTGTGGGAAGACAGAGATAGTTCGAAGAGAAGGTGGTAGCAACTTACAGGAAGAGAGCAGGAGTCGAAAGATAGAACTGGAACGAACGATATCGCGTCGACAGCGACACTGACAGTGAAAGAAAACAATTGCTGTACAGTCTCGTAATCGCTAATGTTTAGTTCAGTTGTATAGTTTGTTTCGTACACTGGCAGTTACAAATCGCAGTAAAAATATTACACCGACTCGATGATGCTCAAAACACGGGAAATAGCAGGATGTGTTGTGAATGAGTGGGGCATACGCTACGTGTATGTGACTTCATGAGGGCACAGGACTGGAACCCCATAAGCAAACATGGTGTCGCGTCACGTTACAGGGTTATGTGACGTCGCGACGTCGCGTGTCTTTATAAAGTGAGGTGATCTCATGAGGCCATGACGATCCTTGACGTCACGACAGAGTCCTGATGACCTCATGTAAAGTGATGACATCACGGTGACGTAATGATGTTACGTGATCTCATGTGTTACGTGTTATGGATCTCATGAGTTACGTGATCTCATAGATACGGTTGTGTCTGCGCCAAATAAACAGTTGGAAGTCTGCGCTCCGTGTGTCTTACTCGTTTCTACCTCTGTCCTCGTCGTTTACGCAGTTCATTTATTTCTACAACTCATGAGGCTATTTCAACACTTGACGTCATGACAATTTCGTGATGACGTAGTGTGAAGTAATAACATCACGGTGACGTCATAATCTCCCATGACGTCACAGTCCTTTGTGGCGGTTCCTCTTGACTGCCTTCTCATAGAATTCGTCTGATAAACTATATTCTGTGTTAAAAGTGTTTTCAAAGGGGCTGTGGACCACGACTTCATGCTAACAGTAGGGCGCATAAGTTGTCCCGGGCATCATGTGGGTTCCTTCAGACAGATTCAACAGAGGTGAGTATACTCATTACATATCCGGGAAGGGGGGGAGGGGTGAAAAATGGCGCGTTTCGGTTCTCCCCGATAAGGGAGATAGACCAGACACCGCATGATCATTCGGCTATAAGTGAGAACAAATTAGACTCCTTTGAGGCGCTTTCTGTAAAAATTTTAGAGTATGTCTTTACCAAAGCCAAAGTTTACTCACCACTCTATTACAAACTAGATGCTGCCTGCAACATACCATATTTTGGGTTATTTTAAAACCGCGATAACGCAAAAATGGTTGCACTAATGGCAGCCCAGCACCAAGACGCAGCAGGATATATCTCTCCAGTTATTCGGCACTTCCTAAATAAATTTGCAAGCACGTTAATTCGACAAAAAATGATGAAGTGCTGAAACTTTAAAGGAACGTCATTAGTGAAAACATTTAGGAGAGGAAATAGCATTTAGAATGATTGATTTATATAAGACCGAAGTTGTTTATGGCTAGGGTTCCATGAATTTTTCGTGTGCGTCAACAAAAACTCAGAGAGGGCTCGCACCACCCTTTCTTTGTCGTCGTTCCAAGCGCTTTGTTGCCTAGTTTCTTTTCCTTTTTCCCGGTGGCGGTTCCGTCGCGCGTGTCTAGTTTCCTCCGGCTCCACCGATCAAGACAATAAATGTGTTCGTACCTTTCTTCAAACGTTTGTGTCGCGTGTGTTTCGTCTGCTAACGAGCTTCGCTGGTCATGCACCTTCACAGAGCGCCATGTACACATCAAAGACGACGTCAAGGACAGCGTCTAAACGACGTCGAAGACGACGTCAATGACCACCTCTAGGACGATCACTAGGACGATCCTAAAGACGACGTCAAGGACGGCGTTTAGGATGATGTCAAAGACGACCTCTAGGACGACCTCTAGACGCCGTAAAAGATGACATCGTGAACGACGCCAAGAACGACGTTTACGACGACGTTGATGGTGATGTCCTAGAGGACGACGTTAAAAACGACCTCTAGGATGACCTCCAGGACGACCCCTAGGACGACCTCCAGGATTACGTCGAGGACGACGTCAAAGACGTCAGGTCACGTCAGCCTCAGTTACTGACGATTACGAGCTTACGCAGCCGGCGCTTACGCGAACAGAGCTTACGCAACCGGCGCTTCCGTGACCTTGATTACGGGACCTCGCACACCAGCCACGGGCATCATGTGACCCCTTTGTTACGCGACAGGGAGGACATGACCATCAGGACATGACCTTGAGGTCGAGGTCATCGCTTTGAGCGTGGTTGGGCCTATAAAGCTTACCGCGTTAAAGCAACAAACTTTTTCAAAAGTTTCTTTGAAGTCGAAGCCCAAAAACTTTTCGAATGCAAAGCATTTTTTTCTCCAGGTAATCTTCTTTCAGCGATATTTGAATTCGTGCAATGTTTTCTATTGAATATTTTTGCTTCCTTGCATCAAATTTTTTCCTATGAATTGTGCGAGCAATATTTGAATTAGAAGGCAGTAAGTTAACATAAATGTAACGATGCGTTTTTATCTTAGCTCTAGGGGAAAAACATTAAATCGTTCAAAATGGAACTTGTGATGGAAACACGTTTTGAAATTAGCCAGATAATATTCAAAGTAAGTCGCGATCACTCAAATGCATAAGCCATGCGGATAGAAAATCGCAGTTTCATTTTGTTGTTTCCTTTCAAAGCTCGAGTGAAGCTAAACGCACTCGTCTTTTGACACCAAAAAACAATATCGAAGAGCTTCGCACTCGCGCCTGTGCCCCTGATAGCAGTGCTCACAAGTTGAGACACGTAAGGCCACCAGGACTTAGCGTTTAACCCTGTGACGCCCTAATCTCCGACGCTCTATGGTAAGTTAGCACACATATCGGAGCGTGTTCAGATTTCGAAGGCTCGTGGCGTTTATCAAGCTGGAATGCAAACACCTCACATCAGGATTATTTTTGTCAACGTGGAATGTTAATGGAACCCCCGAATCCCAGAACTCTGTGCGCTCTTCCGTTTGTGCATTTTTCCGCTATATTTACCGGCGAAACTGACATTTGGTGACCTGACGTCATGTGGACTATAGGCTTGTTTCTCTCGGCCAGGGGTCACGAGCGCGTCTATATCACGCGACCATCTTATGCTTGCGTAAAGCCTAAACCGATACTGCAGCGCTCGATCATGGACGAGCCAAGGTCGTTTACAAGCCTATGTCAGCATTGGTCTGCGCACGGTAACAGTGCGTCTAAAAAATAAAGTTTAGTTAAACTAAAGAAACCGCTGCTCGCCGCTATTAGCGTTGTATTAAAACGATAGGCATACTTTTTCTTGTAGCTTTTTTGTTCTTGTTTTTCTTTAGCAAACTTATGTAACAATATAGGCTCGTTCGCACAGACCCGTTGTCCTACGTTACGTTACGAAAAGTCACAGGAAGGTCTGTGCTTCGTATTAAGCGTGGCTACCAATTCAAGGAGATAGCCTGGCACGCGACATCCGAGGCACGAACGTTTCGGTGACTTAGAAATGACGCAAGAAAACGGAGCTGTGTGAAAAGTTGAACTGAACTCAACTCCTTACGTTACGTTACGACGAGCATTCTGTCCTCGGTTACCACGGTAACTCACCGCCCTGGCACGTCGTCACCGAAACATTCGTATCTTAAATGTCGCGTACCAGGCTATCTCCTTGAATTTGTGGCCACGCTTATACGAAGGACAAATTTCCAGGTGAATTTTCGTAACGTAACGTAAGAAAAATGGTCCGTTTGAACGAGCCTTATAGGTTTGTCAGCTTGGCCTCCGCAAGCCACGTGAAAAAGCATAATGATTCAGAAACAAAACGCGACCAAAAATTTTAGGTTTTGCATGCCAGACACGCTGCCCAAACTTGAGAGCCACAGGCCTATACACCAATTCAATTTCATTTTTTGGATTCACGCGTTTTAAGCACCAATTAAGTCCACCTGATTGTTGTAGCGCGAGAACCAAGCACTGAGCTAGTAGCGTGAGGGGCTTTGACATCAAGCTCGTGACATGGGCCGCGTTCCTCTCGCGCATGAGACATTACCTTTTTTTGTAAGCTCTCAGAACGAGTGTGCGCCATAAAGGTTTTTCTGGTTTGGATCGTCGTGCTTCGTCGTGGTTATTACATTGGCGACGAGGGTCGGTTTCGCCTGCACTGGTCTGCCAAGCGTTGCGTAAGGAAAGTGACAGCAAGTAATGGGAAGCCGTCAACATTCAGAGAAGGCGGCTGGGGACCAGGCGTCAGCAGTGGAATTCGAACGCACGTCGGGAAAAGAAGCGAGAAGATAAGTACCTGCTTGGACGTTTCTTGTGCCTATTAAAGTCATGTCGCGACTAGGCAGACTCGACGAGTACGACCCAAAGATCCAGGACTTTGAATCTTACCTGGAACGCTTTGAATTTTTCGTCAGCGCAAACGAAATAGCTGCTGCAAGAAAACTAGCGGTGTTTTTAACACTAATTGGGGCAGAAGCATACGAAGTCCTGAAGAACTTGGTAGTTCCCGCACTTCCAGGGCAGAAGACGTACGAAGAAGTCAAGACTCTTTTAAAGAACCACTACAGCCCGAAGACTTCAGTCATAGCCGAGAGGTGCAAATTCAACCGCCGAATCCAATTAGACCACGAGAGTGTGGAGGACTTCATTATCGAGTTGAAACACCTCGCTCGAAAGTGCAATTTTGGAGTATTCCTTCAGGATGCGCTGCGCGACAGATTAGTGGCAGGTATCAAGTGTGAGGAAACTCAAAGAGCTCTGTTTGCGGCGGATGACTTAACGTTTGAATGCGCCTGCAAGATCGCTCGTGACAAGGAGTTGGCCGCCAAGCAAAGCGCTGCCTTACGAGTGGGGAGCCGAAGCGATGCTGTGAACACCTCTGTCAACACCGTTAAAACGGAAGTGAGGTCGAAACCCAAGACAAGGAGTTCGACGTGCCGAAAGGACACAAAACAAAAATTTGAGCGCTGTGGCAAGGCACATGCGTCAAATAGTTGCTGGTACAAGACCTACACCTGTAAGCGATGCTCAAAAGTGGGCCATCTTCAGAAGATGTGTCGAGTAAACCAAGAACCACTGACGACACATCTAGTATCTGAGTCATCGCAGGAGGACGAGTACATTTTGCACAACTGCACAGCGGATTCGACGATAAAGAAGGGCTACATGGTGACGGTGAACGTCGAAGGACAGGACTTGCCGATGCAGGTCGACACGGGGGCCGCGGTCACCGTAATGCCGGAAAGCGTGTACATGTCCAAGTTTTCACACGTCAAATGTGAGTCAACGCCACTCGTGTTAAAAACTTACACGGGACAGAGAATGCAGGTCTTAGGACAGTGTGACGTTACTGCGTGCTATGAAGGGCAATCTGCTAAGTTGCCCCTTATCGTGGTTCGGGAGTGTGAACGGAAGCTTCCTGTGCTTCTAGGACGGAGCTGGTTAGACAAGTTGCAGCTGAACTGGAATTCTATTTACAGCTTAAGTGCAGAAGACAGGGTAGCTAAACTACGCAGCAAGTTCCCGCGCGTTTTTTATTCTACGCTTGGAGCTATCAAAGACTTCGAAGCAAAAATAGTCTTGCAAGCTGGCTGCTCACCTGTGTTTTGTAAAGCCAGGCCAGTACCTTTCGCGTTACGTGACGCGGTTGAAAAGCAGTTGTCTGAGCTCGAAACGCAAGGCATAATCCAGCCAGTGAGTCAAAGTGACTGGGCAACTCCGCTGGTAGTGGTGCCAAAAAAAGAAGGTAACAAACAGGCTGTGTGGTGACTTCAAGGTCACAGTTAATCCAGTACTGAAAGTTGACCACTATCCGCTTCCACTGCCAGAAAAGCTGTTCACTGCGGTTTGTGATGGCAAGGTGTTTTGCGTGCTGGATTTATCCTAGGCATACCAGCATGTGTTGCTAAGCCCAGAATCCAAACCCATCCTGACGGTGAACACCCATAAGGGACTCTATCAGTACAATAGACTTCCCTTTGGTATCGCCAGCGCCCCAGCTTTGTTCCAGTCCTTAATGGATAAGGTGCTAATGGGACTAAGCAATGTAGGTTGCTACATTGACGACGTAATTGTCACAGGTCGAGACATAGACGATTGCCAACGTACACTTGAGCGCGTCTTGGAACGATTGAACGACCACAACATTACTCTCAAGCAAGAAAAGTGTAAGTACTTCCAAACCTCGGTGTCGTATCTCGGACACAAACTGAGCTCAGAGGGTATCTACCCAACAGAAGGAAAGGTGAAGGCAATCATCCAGGCACCAAAGCCCACAAATACCACAGAGCTAAAAGCCTACCTAGGATTGTTAAACTATTACGGGAAATTCTTGAAAAATGTGGCGTCAGTGGCACAGCCATTGTACCGGTTACTGAGGAAGGGCGAAAGATGGGTTTGGACCAAGCAGTGCAGCGATGCGTTCGACGCCACAAAGCACCTGCTGATCAACAGCCCCGCGCTCACATATTATGACGTTCGCAAGCCACTGGGTTTGCAGTGTGATGCGTCATCGTACGGCGTTGGAGCTGTCATTTTCCACGTGCTGCCGAATGGCGAGGAGCGTCCGATTGCATTCGCTTCGCGAACACTGACACCTGCAGAAAAGAATTACGCGCAGGGAGAAAGGGAGGCTCTCGCTCTTATATTTGGCCTAAAGAAATTCCACAAGTTTTTGTTTGGCCGACAGTTCGTTTTGTACACGGACCATCAGCCACTTCTAGGGATTTTGGGGCAAAACAAAGCAACTCCTTCCCTAGCAGCTGCTAGGATGCAAAGGTGGTCCTTGATTATGTCAGCGTACCACTACACTCTTAAATACCGTAAGGGCACTGAAACAGAAGTGGCTGATGCCTTGTCTAGGCTACCTGTCTGTTCGACGTCCAGAGCAGAGGCAGCTGAATGTCTCTCGGTTTTTGAGTGCACTCCCCTGACAGCCCGAGATGTGGCAAAAGCCACGGCACGAGATGCCACACTTTGCAAAGTTCTATAGTACACCAGATCTGGCTGGCCAGGAAACGTCGCAGAGGAACTACAACCGTACCATGTCCGACGTCTCGAACTTTCCATTGAGCAGAGCTGTCTCACTTGGGGATCGCGGGTTGTCGTACCCGAGAGCTTGAGACCACCAGTTCTGACGTTGCTTCATGAGGACCACCCCGGCACCAGCCGAATGAAGATGTTAGCTAGAAGCTTTATTTGGTGGCCTGGATTAGACAAAGCTGTCGAAGAGTACGTGAAGCAACGCAAGGTGTGTCAGGTCGTACAGCCGGCGGCGCAGCCTACACCACTGCACCCTTGGCCATACCCTTCGAGGTGTTGGCAGAGGGTCCATATTGATTTCGCGGCAAAGGGTCCACATAACTTTCTTGTCTTAGTGGACGCGTATTCCAAATGGGTTGAAGTTTGGTTGATGAGCACTACCACTGCAACTCAAACAATCACCAAACTTCGCAGTGCCTTTGCTGCCTTCGGTTTCCCCGAAGAAATTGTGAGTGATAACGGGCCACAGTTTGTATCTCAGGATCTGGAAAGTTTCTTGACAAAAAATAACATTACACATACAAAGACGCCGCCCTACCACCCAATTTCAAATGGGGCTGCCGAACGTCTTGTGCAGACAACAAAGCGGGCACTGCTAAAGCAAGTGCTGTCTCACGCTGAGTCGGAGAAAAAAGAATCAGTGCAAGAAGGGCTAGACAGCTTCTTGATGAGCTATAGAAACACCCCTCATTCGGTGACTGGAAAGACTCCAACTGAACTCTTTTTGAAACGCCATCCAAGAGTGAAGTTGTCTTTCCTCAAGCCCGACTTTGTAAAAGACATGACTGAAGAACAGCTGAGCATGAAACAGCAATGCAACAAGCACAGGGGCACAGACCGCGCATTTGATTTGGGGGAAAGAGTGTGGGTAAAATGTGTGCGAGGTGAGAACGTTCCCTGGGAGGACGGTGAAGTGACACAAATTGTGAGTCCGGTGACATATATCGTGCGTGTGGCCGGTCAAACGCGATTTGTGCACGCTGACCACTTGCGCCATTCTTCGACACGACCCGATGAAGCTTCATCCTTGCTTCGGCGACACGATCAATCGGACCCGTCTCAACAGCATGAGCAGCCACCTGTGACGACAAGAACACATGACCTAGACAACGAACCGATGTCCGATATCGGGACATGTGCAACGCCTTCGAGGACTGATTCGGTGACGTCTCCGCCTGATGCGACGCCGCCTGCAGGATCGTCGCCGTCAACTGAAAGTCAAGACCGGCCGGGCGTTGAGTTACGACGAAGTGCGCGTGTGCGTCATCCACCCGACTGGTTCAAACATTCAGATTTTAGAAAGTGATCAGCAGGTCGCGCATTAAGGGGGGAAGATTGTTGTAGCGCGAGAACCAAGCACTGAGCTAGTAGCGCGAGGGGCTTTGACATCAAGCTCGTGACATGGGCCGCGTTCCTCTCGCGCATGAGACATTACCTTTTTTTGTAAGCTCTCAGAACGAGTGTGCGCCATAAAGGTTCTTCTGGTTTGGATCGTCGTGCTTCGTCGTGGTTATTACACTGATAAAATTACCGGGGACATAACCGGACGCAACGTGACCACACGAATCCTTTTCCCCCACCATATGTGGATTTTTTGTGTTTGTCCTTTGTACCCCTTTTTCCCCTTCTCCCGGGACAATTATCGTCATTCTTGTCCTGCTCGCTTGCACCATTGCATTAATCGCATTATTATCCACATCCAGCGGGAAATTTATGTCACGTAACCTATGCATTATCCCCTCTAAGATCAGTGGAAAAATTATAATAGTAATAATTCGTTTTTACTCCCTGAAACGACTGTTGAAGACCATCTAAACAAATTTAGACGATTTCTTCTTAGAGGACCACATATATAAATGTCATTGTTTTTTTATTTAAGCGCTATGAAAAGAGACCAGCGCACGTTACCAGCTTGGTAATGTGCTTGGTTTGAAGAGGTGAAAGGTAGTGCATTGATCTCACTAAGCATTCCATGCATCCGTGGCCGCCATAACTGTAGTTCACAGGAGGCAGATGCCAGGGCGCGAGACAGCTCGTATCATCTCGTGCTCTGCTCCCGCAGACCCTCAGCGGGGTTGCCACCATAGTGGGGTACTCGCCTGTTTAGAAAGAGTACACTTTTCAAGATGCATGGCCGCAGCGGTGGCGCAAATAAACTGGCTGCTGCGATCAGTCTATTGTATTGCATTTATGCTTCTACCATAGAGTTACTATATACTGTACGCTAAAGGTTCAACTGGCGCTAGTGTCTTTGAGACTAATGCCCGTGTCCCACTAGAGCGACAGACAGAAGCAAAAGACAGTGACAAGCCTCAAACCCATGCAACATGCTCGCGATGGTACCTCTGGCAAACGTTTAGTCGTTCGGTGCTCGTGAAGTAAGCACGAGCGATTGCAAGTGCCAAAGATACCCTCACGTGCATGATGCTCGTGTTTGAAAGCCTTTCAAATCGCGAAAGACTCTGATTTTGAGGCTTGTCACTGTCGTTTGTTTCTGTCTGTCGCTCAAGTGGGACGCGAGCATTACGGTTTCAAATTGAAGCAGACAGCAACCAGTCCACTTATACGGTGCTCGGGGGGGATTGGTGGCCAAGCGGGCGCACAGCAGGCCAGCTCGGAGCACCTGGAGCGAAAGATCGCGCTGCAGAACCCAGGGATCTTAGTTTGAATCCCCACCCCTGCCCGTTTCGATCTGGATGAGCATCGTACCGGCGTGCGGTCGTGTATCCCTACTGCGTAGTACACGTTTAGGACCCCAAGCTAGCAGCTGTACTGCACTGGCTAAATTTCTCACCTGCATCTGAGACACCAGACGCACGTCGGGACTGACTAAGTTCAGACTATATCAACATGCGCACGACACAATTACAATTACTACGTTCGACGACAATTTCCTAAAGAGATGCAGCAAATCTAATGAAGAATAACCCATGTACCACCAGATGGGCCCCACGTGAGCCCCACCTCTTATCCTATTTGGGGACAGTCGAATAGAACGTAGGACCTGTTGAACGAGAGCCGACATCCTGATGAAGGTCCTACTGATAATCTGCAAGATCATGCGACAAATATGCGCGAAGTGCGTTTTATTATCGCACTGAATTTATCAGGCGGCAAGTTTTTTTCTGGCTTTTCCCCATTTTAAAAGTTTTCGGAGCATTCAAATATCCGTTTTGAACGACAGAACAAACTTAGCATTGTTCCCATTTATGATCAGCAGGGTGAATAAAACGATTGTTATTTACTGTAACTCGTACTCATTACTTGGCTTTAGTTTACTTGAGCCGTCTACATGCAGAGGTAGGTACTGACCCAGGGTTAGTGCGCAGTTCTCTACGTCTCTTTTGATATTCGAAACGCTCTTGATTGCTTAGGCACGTAAATCCCCGCAGAAAAAACGCGGATGCCGCGTTTGCGCTACCCGATGTAGGACAGGGTACATAA